AAAAGGGAGCTGGATGAGAGTGAAACCAGAAAAATGAAGAAGATTGGGGTGTCCGGACGAGCTAAACAGTGTGTTTCACTGCGCGCGTGTGGGTCCTGGTGCGAATAACAGGCAATGGTAAACAAAAATACATTCACTTATAAGCATAGATAATCAAAAAAAACCCTAGTAACAGCAAAAGTTGCTTACCTTTTCAGCCTCAAGGAGTAGGAAATTAAGTAACGGATCGCGGCAGCAAAAAGAAAAACAGAGGGAAAAAGAATGGGAAAAAACATTGCCTCATCACTCGGCGATTACCTAATTGTGCGTGGGTCCTAGAACGAATAATAGCATTCTGTTTTGTCTCGACACTCGTCTAATGTGACATCGATCGAGGGGCGGGAAAGCGAACTACGGCAGCGACGGGGCTTCTACTATGGCCTAAGCGCCGAGATTGTATGAGCGAGAGGGGGCCTTCTACCACCCATGGGGGGCGCTGAGTATTCCTAAAGGAAGAACTTAGTAACCTTTTTTACCGTGAGGCGATTAGTTACTTTTCGGTCTACTACAATGATGGAAACGAATCGATTATTTTTTATGGGATTGTTTTTACCTGAGACCGTTTACTATTAAGTTCTCAGACAAAGTTTTCTTCACTGGTTCTGAAAATTCAACAAATTTTTGTACTCTATTCACTTTTTAAGTCGATCTTCGCTCCTCATTGCAGTAGTCGGATCGCAGACGTCACTCTAATCCTCTTTTCTTTGTTGGCACACCTCATTTGTGATCAGCCGTGTAACTAAAATGAAGGATGGAGTGCTCTTTCATCTTTATGAGAAGAGTATCTCTGAGCAACCAGGACACCTTTGAATTGGGTTCTTGCTGACACTGAATCATTCACATTACATTTAGTCGAGCCCATGTCATTTGACATATTGACAGAAATCGCTTTCTGGGGGAGATGAGTCGCGATTTTCTTTCCACCCGGACTGCAGCTCACACATGAACATCATGGTCCAACGTAGCAGTTTTTTGACTCTATCTGCGAATTTTTATCTCTTTGGCTATAGCACTTGATGGTCTTTCAATTATGCGTTCAATTATGTTTAGATTTCATTTGGAGGAACTTTTGCAGGGTTTGCATCAAGTTGCTAACAGTAAAGATGACATTGGGGACATTCTTTTCAATATCAGTACCATATTTAAGTTTGTTGAAACACATTGCATGAAGTACTATAAGGTTGGCAAAAACGTCGACATCGATAAGACACTCGTTTCTTTTGAAAAAAAATTCCAGTTCAAGCAGTATGTTTCATCAAAAGGGGCAGTTATAGTAGTATTGATTTTAAAATTCTTAAATAAAAGATCATATGGGATCACGTAGTATGTATCCTCACTTGGGTATGATTTAATGTTCCGAGAAAGAGGGACAAAGTTGTAGTCTACATAAGAACTACATTACCGTTAGCGTTGTTGTACCTTAGTCGTCCATATCGGGAAATCATTTGGTTTGAAAGGAGTTAATTGATGAGAATGCCTTTAAGGAAGTTTATCCATAAAACCGTAACTAATACAAGATTCGAAGTCATCTACAACTTTGAATGATTTGCTTTTTGAGCCGTGACGAACCAAAAGCTTCTCTTTCTATCGTCTTGCTAAAGCTTTCTAACCAGAACCAGGAGAAGACGTCAAGGGACCTAGGTTACACAGCTAAATGTTAAGTGGTTGCATAGCATATACATATGTTTCGCGAAAGGATCCGAATACACAATGTTTCAGTTACAAATAACCGTCATCGATGTTTGGAAGTCATGGAAAAAGCGAAAGACCAGCATCCGTGGTTTGGAATGGAGCAAGAATACACTCTTCTGGACATAGATGGACATCCATTCGGTTGGCCCAAAAATGGCTTTCCAGGACCACAAGGTGAGCCTCATTCCTCGTCTTAGCACATCATCTACGAAAATCATCGTGAGATATCCAAACAATGAATTAAATTGCTTTTCTGGAGTGGCGAAACTTCTACCCAGTTGCCAACTTTGGCTAGCTGCATGCGACAATTTTTTTAGTTGTCTCGCAGCTGCAAACTGCAAGTACCGTACTGAGTCCGCTCTCCTCGCAATCGACAAGGCACCATTATTTCGTTGACTGCCTTGTTTTTTTCGAATGTTTTATTGTTTTTCCTTTTAAATGAACAATAACCACCAAGCATGCAGTAACCCGTATTATCTTGCCGTGTTATCTTCGATGGAGACCCCAAGGGGAATGGAGGAAGTAGCCAGAAATGGCAAATAACTAAATGCTTCTTTGACTCGTAGATTGGCACGCAATGGCTGCTTTCATAGTCCGCGACGGACTATGAAAGCAGCCATTGCGTGTTCTAATCATCCGTTGCGAATTTGTGGAGAAGGCCATACCTTAAACTCTCTGGTGCTCGAATTATATAATCGTGAACAGGTGAAGAAGGATTCGAAGGATGGCTCTTGCTCACTTGATTCACTTGTTTAATATTTTATTTATCCAAAGCTAAGAATTTGTGCGCAGGGTCGCAGTTACAGGTAACCATCCAAAAAAAGTTCGGGGCTGAAGGCTTGGTTGGCCTTTACTTTGGATGCCGATCCGGGATTGGAATCCGTGACTACGAGTGTGTGATAAAGCGCTACTGTCACCGATTCACCTCCGCTCAACCATCCATGGAACTCTGGAAAAACAAATCTGTTTTCAGTAACAGTAACTAAAGGTCACTTTAACAACTGGAGCATGCACTTTAGATGTTTAAGCGACCTTGAGTCATTTAAATCTGGAGCGATAAACACAACGCTTTCTAATTACGCTCAGCGCTAGATGCAGGGAAGGAACAGAAGACGATTCCCCGAGCCCATAAGTGCTGCTTGGGAACCTTTTTTTCAGATTATTATATATTAAATTAAGCTTTAAAAGGGAAGGAGCACTGCAGTGGGTAAGTCATTGAATGTCCAATTTTACCTGATCCCTTTTTTGCACGAAGAAGTCTTTCTCAGTCCCACCGTGCTCCTACCTTCTAAGGCCTAGGTGAAAACTAAATTCTTTTAGTCAGGAACATTCCCTGAGCACAAGTATGCTTAACTACCGCTGCTTTCTGCGCTCTAGCGCTCAGTGGTGAAAAAGAACGGTCCCCCCCCCCCCCCCCCCCCCCTCCCATCCCTATCCCCTTCCCTCAAGTATTTCCACCCGGCTTCTTGTGAGTTTTTTTTTCTGCAATACTTTGAAGTTGTATACTGAAAGCTTACGAATGCGTAATCATTACAGGACCGTATTACTGTGGCGTTGGAGCAAACAAGGTATACGGTCGAGACATAGTGGAAGCTCATTATCGTGCTTGCTTATATGCCGGTATCAGCATTTCTGGCACGAATGCCGAAGTGATGCCGGGGCAGGTGTGTGCTGTTTTTACCACTGCATGGACGTACTAATGCGTAAATGCTGACTGTTTGAAGGCTCATGCTTACGGCGCAAACTACTTACAGTCGGGTGGGACACTTATCTGGGGTTGGGACTAGGTAAGATCGAATGCATTTGGCGATGAATCAATTTTGGCTTAATCCTCGTCCCCACACGTCTGCTGCCACTTCTAGCTCACGCTAAAGCGAAACGCGCATGTTATTTCGTACTTTCCACAGCACGACGTCTGGCTCCGCGCCAGTGGGCATAACACGAAGTCGCTTCCAATTACAATATGCTGCTTTTTCTTGAATATTGAGGCCATTTTTGCTATTTCTGATAGAAAACTTGAATCGTTCTTCCAGTGGGAATTTCAAGTTGGTCCTGTCGAAGGAATAGCGATGGGCGATCAACTGTGGATGGCGCGCTTTCTTCTCCTTAGAGTAGCCGAGGAGTTCGGTGTAGTCGCCTCACTGGACCCGAAACCTATCAAAGGTGAGCGAGAAATTAGCTGTTATGAATTTGGATTTTATTGAGTATGGAATTACTTACAAGCTTAGTTCGTGATGTTTTTGAGATTTTCATATACGATGAATCTTTGGCCTCTAGGAGAGCACTGAGACACTGTCGGGCCGAAGAGCGACCTGGGCAGAGCGCAGTAATGGTATCGTAGTCAGTTTGGACGACGTACACACCCTAAGGTGGCAGTGTTACAACGCCATTGTTAAGGTGTACCATGCTCAATAATGTTTGGACGAGCTGTCCAAATATGTGTGTCAGTACGTAAAGCAGGCCACATTAAGCTGCCTACAAGCAGTGTGTGCGTCTGGTAGAATGGTGTATCTCCAAAGCCTCTACAACTTCATGAGGTCTTGTCCACCTTTGGTTCGGTGCGTCAGCTATGGGGCCCTTATTAGGCTCCATCTAGACCTCTTTTCGACCCGAAAGTGTCCCTTTGGGAGTCACACGTTCATCCAAGTGGCTACTTTCAGAGTTCGACGACCGTCCGTCCGTCCGTCCGTCCGTCCGTTCAGCGCGTGCNGCACGCGCTGAACGGACGGACGGACGGACGGACGGACGGATGAATCGTTGAGGTCTGAAAGCAGCCAGTGAGAAACCTTAGGAACCTTTTTTATCGTTAACTGTGCCTTCAAAATTTTGATGTAATTCAGGAGATTGGAATGGCGCCGGATGTCATACTAACTTTTCCACCGCCTCGATGAGAAAGCCGGGTGGTATTAAGTAGGTTCCGCAGAAACAAACTTCATCATATTTAATGTTCTGCTGATTATCGATTAACATAGCCCTTCCAGTGATATCATGACGGCGATCAATAAATTGTCACTTGTCCATCATCAACATATCGCTTACTATGATCCTAAAGGTGGAAAGGTTCGTGACAGTTATTACGCGATAGGGGTTCAAAGCTCTCCAAACAAGATAGGTTCATTTGAATGATGAGAAGCAATGTGTTGAACTGATGTGTAAGGGTATTGTGGCAATTTGAACGACAACAATCTCATCCAGCTGCTGCTGCAGTGATGACATCGCGATCCCACAAATGTGTATATCGCACTCCAGCAATGCTCTGAATTTTTAGGATAACGAACGTCGTCTGACTGGTCTTCATGAGACCGCAAAAATCGATCAATTCTCCTATGGTATCGCATCGAGGGCTAGTTCGATACGTATCCCTCGTCAGACGGACGATGACGGCTATGTAAGAATGTTAAATTTTTTTTCCTTCAAATGCAGTCTAGGAGTAAGCATGAGTTTGTTTGTAAGCCTCTTTCCAGTGATGATGTCATAATTTACCTCAAGGTATGTTGATGCTTTTCACACATTTCTAGGGCTATTTCGAAGATCGGCGACCATCGTCAAATTGCGATCCTTACAACGTGACTGCGGCTCTTGTGCGAACAGTCTGTCTGGATGGTGATGATCGGAAGCTGTCAATGATGTACGTACCAACCACATGTGTCAGTGGATGAATAATCGCCGAATGGCCAGTTCTCTTTCGTGCTGCTTTTTGCATTTCATACTTTCTATAAATTCATCCATGTTGTGAATCTTACCTCTTAGATCTACTGGAAGCAAATTTAATACCGTTTTAACCGTAACGTTCTTAACTTAGCAAACGCTTGCTAATCTGTGATTTTACGATTCTATCGGTGTACTTTTCTTTTGATTCGTAATGTGCACTTCAACATTATGTTCAGAATACTAAAATTAATAAATTTTTGTAAATTTTGGGAGAAGTATTCACCGTCGAGTGGTAGCATAGCACCCATACTCGCCCCTCCTCTATGTCGATCTTTTGCTTGAATTTACGTTGGCTTACGGTAATTCATGTACTTTAAGCGATATTTGATCATACAAATAATTACGTACAAATCCGTTTCTTCGCACCTCCGCTCGCTCACCTGCGGGGTGACTTCTATTAATTGCTTGGATGTTCGCCTTTCATTGGGGCCCGAAATTTAAACTATTATTCTACTTACTTCAAAGCGCTTCGTCTTTTGTCTGTGTGTCTGTCCGACTATCTGTCGCATGTGTGTCGCGAAATTCCTTAGCTCCTTTAGATTTGCCTGGAGAGACCGAGTAAAGCGTGGGATGGGTGGGTAATGTCCCGAGAAGTATAAAGCACACATCAGCTTAGCGGAGTCCCGCCCACAGAGGGCGTGGCATGCATCGAAATGAACTGTAGGATTTCAAATTCAGTCATAAGATGGCTTCAAAAGTGAGGTTTAAAGGTGGCTAGAGATGTGCGTTTGTAAGTTAAATCGAACTGGGGAGACCCACCTCTGATGGGCGGGGCGTTCTTTAAAAATGCAATGCTTTATGAAAAGATTTATATATTGGTTTGGAGAAAGCCAATAGAGCAAGAGAAAGTTGATGTGGGAGAAGCATTGTCGATGGTGTCTCCACCATAAATGACGTTAGCGGAGGCCCGCTCACAATGGGCGGAGCGTGCCTCGAAATTCACATCCCTTCTTACATTTATATACGAAAATTCATAACTTCGGTTCCAATGGACCTAGAGAATTCAAATTTGGTAGTAGTACAGGCGGCATGATGGGAAAACTTATGGTGGGTGGCAGGACCAGACTCCGCCCACAGGGGCGGGATTTGAGCGGAAACTCATAGGTCCGACAATGAATGAATGAATGAAACTCAGCTCATTTGGCTCCGTCTCTCATGGCTAGAGCCCCTAGCGCACGCGATAGGTGCGTAGCCGCCTGGTATTAGATAAATAGGATCACCTTATAAGTCATCCCTACTTTGAACCTTTGTCCCACCGATAGGCGCCAGAGTCGTCAAAATCGTCATTAATTTTGCCGTGCAATTTCCCGCTCCCCTGCCATACGAATGTACAAGGTACACGGCACACCCCATTCAGAGTTCAATTGATGCTTAGGTAGAAACGCAGACTCCTGTTCCTTCACAGGGTCGTCACTGGTCAACCTTGTGTCCAGCTCGTTCCGTTGTCCTTGATCTTTTAACTTGTGTAATGTTTTCCTTATCTCAGTCATCTCCGATGGTTGAGGCCGTCCGATCGGAGAGAGCAGTCAAACACCATATTGAACATTCTTTCAGTACTTCTCTTTTCTGTGCCCTTTGCTTTTAGTGGAACTATTCTTGATACTTATCCCAGACTTGTTTGATACACAAAGGGAACGTCTGTATTTGAACACCTAATTCTTCTTTATTGTCTTGGGTCGCTTTAGCATTACTTCAGCAGAAGTGTTTTAACATAACTTTTATTTTTCCATTCATACATGGTTTCTAATTGGGTATGGAATAAGTTTAGTGTGGGTGAGAACTTTGCTTGGAGCTCGAGGTCACAGCGAGACCGCTACTAAACTTGAGCTTATTGTTAGCCTAGAGCGTCTGCAAACTACTTTCAGTGCTCCCATTCTGTCCCCTACAATACTGCCAGATTGAAACGCTTCAGGTTCTGTGGAGGCCCGCGCACGCTCCGCCTACCGTGGGCGGAGTCGAGTCCTAACACCTCCTTCAGTGTTCCCATCGCGCCGGCTGTAGTCCTGTTCGGAGATATCGATCAAACGCATGATACAGATCGGCAAGTACAAAGTCTCTGTGCTGGCAATGGTGACGCTAAGCCATTCCATCCCGTTTGAAATCTTGCCTTACACAATCCCACCTCCGTTCCTTTTTCATTGGCATTAGATCCGTCTGAGAGTAGAAAGGTGTAATATCTGCACTGAAGACACTTTCGGTAGCTAATGGCGTGGATTTCTCGAGAGTATGGCCATGGAACAATACATCGGAACAAATGGTTTATTTGCACAGCTCGAACAGCATTTGAGCTGCTTCACACTGATTTTCGCGGTCGAACTGATTCTATTGATTTTTTATATCTGTTAGTTTCGAGATGTATGTTTTCAAAATTAGAAAGGTGGTGAACCGTAGCGCCGGATTCATCAAATTTCCCATGCTTGCGCTCCCGACTAAGGTCAGGTAAAGATTTAGGAAAATGAGTGAAGAATTACTAAGACTTAAGAGAGGAAACAAATTCCATTGATTTCAGGTACAGTATAGTATTTTTTTTCTTCTCGCGAAGGGTTCTGTGACTTTCGTCTCTGTTCGGAGCTCTGCGAGCCGTGACCCTGGCCATCTCTTGCCTCACCACGACCTCTTGTCCGTGTAGCATTTCAAGCTATCTGTACTGCTCTGTACTGCTCTCTTCTCCTTTTTTTCAAGGTACTTCTTTGCTTATCATGTGATTCTTGGAGGAGCTGCTTTCGCAAACTTTGCGAACATTATCTGGTAGTTAACTCTATCCACTTCGCTTTTCTGATCGTTTTTAGCGAGAGCAATCCCACGGAAGAACGGCCTACGATTTGGGTTGCTTCCATAGAAAATTTTAACAAGGTTCCCTTGAGGAAAACTGCTGGTATGGTTCTAGTGATTATCCTTGCAAATCTTCATAGGTGCAGTTATTGACTTCTCTGTTAAACTCAAGGCGAGGTTGGCTTGAGTCTTTAGTGGCGGTTCACGTCGACGGGATCGTCTTCCTCAAAGCCTGAAAGGGTCGAAGCGATTTCAGACTATCCGATCAATAGCCTCAACTACACTACTGAACTTCTAGACCTCCGAAGTCATCATATGATCGTAAGGTAGGCTCCTACCGTAGGTCAGTCCGGTCCCCGAGTGGGAAACCAGCAGTAGGGCAGTGAACAATCCGAACTGGATGCGATTCAGAATAATCGCTAGAAGACTAGCCTTATGTACGGCCGTGAGGGCTAGCCGCTCTGGATTTGCCAAAATCTCTAACTTAGTTTAATATTCTTATCAACACAATATGGTTGAACCAGCAGAGGCTAAGTACCGTCAAGATTTGATTGCTTTATGTAGAACAAGTGTACTATACTACCATCCGTATAACATCTATCATGGAAGATTCCTATTTTTTTTATTAAAACCAGCACCAAATCCGGAATCGTCCGTGAAATACTTGATGGCAGGTTAATGTGCCAGGCTGTCGAATTGGATATCCATCATGACCTAGGTTTTCCCCTGGCTCATTGTTGTTTGACGAGTATATTTCTTTTTGAAACCTCATCTAGAGTTCCCTTAACCAGAGGAGGATTTCAAACGCCATCTTGTGCAAATGTTTTTTGCGTGGTTGTGTTTCCGACACTCGTGGAGGTCTGCAAGTATTCGATGTGTCCAATAATAGTAATACTGGAAATGTATCAGCTCATACCAGCACTCACCTAGGCCATTGAGATTTCGGAATACCAGTGATGCTGCGGGGAATTTAATATCTGTTGTGTTTTTCAGGTTCTTTCAGCTCACTTCCCCCATCGAAAAGTCTATTTCTCTATCTACTGCTATTTTAAGTTCACAGCGATCTATGACCCAAGTGGCTTATCAGTGAATCAGCTCCGCGGGCGTCGTTACTTCGGCGATACTGCAAGATTAGTGTAGAAGACGGTGCTATTTTCTTGATAAGACTCTTTTCGATGGTTTTACGAGTTGTCTTATGTACTTCCTTTTTGAAACATTCCACAAAAGTCCGCCTATTATTTCATACACCTCCGAGATAATACGATATTCCTGATAAACTAAATATATCGGTTCCCTATGACTTTTGAACAGGACCATTTTCAGTGACATGTGAAGCGAATCGGTGCGCAAGCATATTTCTTTCTCGGTTACGTGGGTGAAGCTGCAGGGTCTGTGGCCAACGCCCATATCCCTCCTAGCGAGTCTTTTACAACTTAGTGAAGTGTTCAGAACTACAGTCTTCGACGTGATTAATGCTGTTCTCAAACCATCCCACGGAATTTTCCTTCTCTCCTAAACCAAGCCGAATCGAGTACTGGTAAAACAGATTAGGAAAGAACTGATTTTCGTGCAATTATGAATGTAAGACTAAACTTTTTGCTTTTTATGGATGTAGACCTAGGTAATTCATTAGTGTGGGGTGCCTTGTAGGTTGTGGAGGTAAAATCTTCGCCTTATAAGCCGGTTATGAGCTTTTAGCCGGTCCACGTTCACTCGGAGTCCGATGTTGGTCGTGAATGAAACAACTAAAGGAAAAATTCAGTACGTACAAGGATAGCTTACCGATCTTGTCTCGTACTCATTACCCC